TATCCCAAAGCACTATGGCTATAATATCATTTAGACATAAAATGTACTTAAACCATAAGAAAGGATGATACAAGTATATATCTAATTAAAGCTACAGAAAATATAGAGTTATAAGCAGAACAGAATGAGGGAAGAGAAATAGGCAAATTTAAAGAACTAGACCACTGTAAAGAAAAGAGGGAGAGAGAAATGAGCTGGTCCAACATGACAACAGTTTCAAAGAAGAGGAAAAGGATAAAATACGAGATCAAAGCAATAGCAACTATGGACGATAAGAGAGAAAAGTGTGAAAGAAAAATTGGGGTTTTCCTGAGCAAGTAGGTAGGCAAGAAGTATGGATAAAGCAGACATCTGTCCAGGGTTTTCCAGTCAAAAGGAGAAACTACCAAGAGAACATTTCAGAGTTTTCTGGGTGTTTGTAAAGAATTTACAAAAGTTAAAGGACACTGGAGAATCCATGTAGAGCAGAATCTTTGACTAGCCATTTTCCTTATAAAAGACTCCAAAAGAAGAAGGTTTAGGCTGGAGGAGTGGCTCAAGTGGTAGACTGCCTGCCTAGCAAGCATGAGGTTCTGAGGTCCACAAAAAAGACAAGAGTTTAAATGAGGTCTTCAAGATGAAGGAGTTTGGGGGTCTGAGGCACAGAGGTTGGGGGATATTATTCCAGGTAGGGATGAGTGGGCCAGTGAGTGGGAGTGAGTGGACTCTGCCTGAAGGCAGGAGGCAATAGGGGAGGAAGCCTGGAGAGGGGGCCCAATGAGGCTTTCACCCTAAAGAAATGTTTAAGGAATGGTAAAACCAAGGAATGTTTAAAGAAATGTTTAAGGAATGGTAAAAACCATTCCTTAAACAACTTCCAGACAGAGACTACACCCCAGAGGGCTAGTTTGGTCTTCACCCATGAGATCATCCTTCATATCAATGTCTCCATGCAAATTAAAAAATATATACCTTCCTTAAGACTAGCAAGCCACTGTGTTTCCTGGAACTCCAACTGAAGCGCTGAACTTGACTCCTCAGAAATACAAACTATGGGGTGAATGATTTGCTCCGGGAGCTAATGAGCACCTCTGCTGCTCCCCATGGAGCAGATGGCATTAAACAAAGGTTACTGAATTATTTACCCCCAACATCATATAAAGCAAACTTCATATTTGGAAAAGACATATTTAGGAAAAACAGAGGGGATAATTAACGAGAGGGAGGAAGAGTCAATATCTGCTGGCAACACAGGAAAGAAGAGGTCCGTGGAGAAGGCACAGCAGGAAGAGTTAACACATTTTGTAAAATCCTGTATCATCTCTTTCTTTCCATCAAACAATATAAATATTATTAAGACAACAGCATTGAGCCCTGTGTAGCTATCCTTATCTCAACCAGCAAAAACCCTTGTCCCTTCCTGTTATTGCTTATATTCTCTCTACCACAAAATTAGAAATAAGGGCAAAATAGTTTCTGCTGGGTATTGGGGAGGGGGGGAGAGGGAGGGGGTGGAGTGAGTGGTAAGGGAAGGGGTGGGGGCAGGGGGGGAGAAATGAACCAAGCCTTGTATGCACATATGAATAATAAAAGAAAAAGGAAAAAAAAAAAAGACAACAGCATTGAATGAAAACTAAAAAATTCAGCCAGGTGCCAGTGGCTCATGCCTGTAAGACTAGCTACTCAGGAGGCAGAGATCAGGAGGATCATGGTTCAAAGCCAGCCCGGGCAAACAGTTCACAAGACCCTATCGCAAAAAATCCCTTCAGAAAAAATAGGGCTGGTGGAGTGGCTCAAAGTGAGGGCCCTGAGTTCAAGCCCCAGTACCGCAAAAAAAAAAAAAAAAAAGACCTAAAAACTTTAATGTGAGAACATGGAAATAAGTCAAATGTAAGTACATTACAACCATCTGGAGTGCTCAGAACAAGAGAGTTGTATCAAGAGACTTCTAGAAGATCAGAAGAAAGGATAAGGAACATTTCACCATAAAGAAATGTTAAATGATGGAGGAAATAAGACATGCTCACTTGATTCAAACATTGCAAAGCGTGTGTCAAAATAACACATGGTAGTCCATTAATATGTGCAGTTTTTAGGTTTCTATGTACTATTCTATGTTCTATTTAAAAATAAATAAATAAATAATGCTCCTTAATTCGTAATGTATTACCTTAAGCCGTAAAACAAATAAGAAGTGTGTCAATTCACTGACAGTTACCAGCTTTGTCTCCCAAAGACAGAGACAGGACACTTTCAGGAAATGCTACAGCATCAGTGGCCATCAGGCAGGTGTCTGGAATAGTCGGAGAGTGGAGTGTGGGGGAGCGCAGGATTCAGTCATGCCTCAGGCTTCTTTCTAGAAAGGAACAGGAGGGCTCAGAGCTGGGACTCTGCTTCTGCTCTGTGTGGACGTGTCCTTCCACCGCCTCAGAGCCACTTTGTCACCAGAACACCACTGCACTGCTCAAAATTCCCTTCTGCTTCTTCAGTGGAACCTATTCGTGTCTGGAGAGCCCAGATTGTAAGAGTGAGTTATTTTAATAGGCTATCTTTTTTTAATAATAAAAAAGAGCATTAAGCATACGTCTGTGGTAAGCATAAGGCGACTGTTAGGACTGCAAAAGATCCATCGTGTTTCTTTGAGATGAACACGGAGCAAAACGAGAGGCCTGCGGTGCGTAGGTGGAGCCCGGGGAGCCCTTGGGAGGCTGGCTGTCCTCCTTGGCGGAGGCATTGCAGGACTGTGATCTCTGCTGCGAAGCCAGGTGGAATCCTGACAAAGCTCTAGTTAGAAAATTTAAAAGCCATTAGGTCACAAATTTTCAAAATGAAACAAAGGCTTATGGAAGTAAATGATGTTACTCCAAATCACTGCCTCCTCATGATAGCTAAGGTATAATTGGGAGAGGGGCAAGAAGGAATTCCCTAATTTTCTTACTAATTTAGAAAATTGTTTAAATTATTCATCTAAGGAATAGCACATTTCAACCAGAGACAATTTTTCCATGAATGTTTTTGTTGGCAAAACAGCTCAAATTAAATGTGAGTTCACATATAACTTATTCTCAAAAGAATAAATTTATATTAACACTGGAAAAATCCTTTCTATTAATTCCCACCCACGCTCCCAGTGTCGCTCAATGCTTATAATAATGTTACAACCAAAAGCGGTGTAAAATGTCAGCTAATATCTCAAATGAGTGTCTTCCAGTAATATTAATGACATTTTAAAGACAAGTGACACTTCATAGTATTTTTTGAAATATTAGCTCCATGAATCTTATAGAAGAACAATTAATCCACTAAAGAGAACTAACTTAAAAGATCAGCATAGCCAGCACAGTGGCTCAAGCCTGTAATTCTAGCTGCTCAGGAGGTAGAGATTGGGAGAATCCCAGTTCAAGGCCAGCCCAGACAAAACACCCCCATCTCAACAAATAAAATCTGGGTGTGGTGGCACACGCCTGTCATCCAGCTACACAGGAAGCATAAATAGGACTGCAGTCCAGGCCTGTGCACAAAGCAAGATCCTATTCAAACAATAGCTAAAGCAAAACAGGCTGGTGGTGTGGCTCAAGTAATAGAGCCCCTGCCTAGCCACTGCAGGGCCCTGAGTTCAAACCCCAGTGCCACCAAAAATAAATCAATATAAAATAAAAGTATTTATCAAAATACATGAACTACTTCCTTTTAGATAGATTGCTGTAACAGATACATAGTAAATACTACTTTCTGGAATAAGCTGGGGAGTGAAATTCAGATGTGCATCTCGACACTACCGATCACATGATTTCTGTTTATCTATTATTCATCCTTGAAAGTCAAATCCCAGTCTGAAATTAAATGCCCCCTTCTTTTTCCCACCACAGCCATCCCCAGACTGATTTCTTTTTACCTTCTCGCCAGTAAAACCCCTGTTCCTCCCAGCTGGATTTCCAAAGATTAGAAAAGGGCACTCTCATCAGAAGAAGGGGAATCAGATATAGAATGCAACAGAAACTTCTTAAAACTGAGTATTTTCTTTTATCACTTTATCTTCATAGTGCATCAAACACGTGTCTTGGGGAATTCATCTCAATGCATATTTTATATTTATTTAGTGAAACATTTAATATAGCTCAGAAAAAATAGAGAAAGCACTCTAGAATAATCCCTAGTATTGTAATTTACACTTTTGTAACCATTATCTAATTTAAACACTCCTGAGAGACAGGTGCTGTCACCCCCCAGGGGACAGCCGTTAGACTATATGGTTGGGCAGGGGACGATATTAACAGCAGGAACAAGAAGCTGCTTGGGTAAATTAGACTGGGATGGGTAGATTCTAGACTTGAACTTGTGTCTTTGCATTAAGGCTACAAGATGGAATAATCTCTAATCAAGTTTCTAATGACATCAGTTCCAGTCCCAAAGGTACCACGTGCTGGGTGAGAACTATATGCCACATGAAGACAGCTGGCAGGATATGCTGAGAATGCTAAGCCAGAGGAGGGGTCTTCAGGAAAATGTCCAGGTGCTGCCCTTGGAAGGAACACAGCAGGAGTGGGGCAGGGAAAAGGAACACTGGGGGCTTTACTTTCTGAAGGTCATTTCTACTCCAGGGCAGAGGAAACTGACAACTGCCTGGATATGGGGTAGTTTAGAGATGATTAAATTAAGAGGCAAGTTCAAGAAAGATTGACAAGTTAGAGGTGACTTGTGGGAGGGCAGTGGTTGAGGGCAGAAGGACCCTCAGAGAGACTTGTTATCCTCTGTGTGACTTCCGAGAAGATGGCTCTGGATTGCAGAGCCCACAACATTCTTTCCACTTTAAATTAAAAATATTTAATTTAAATATTTCCACTGGAAATATTATGATAAGAGCCTATTTTGACTATAAGTAAAACCATCTCTGGAGTGGAAGACAGCACTGATGTCTAGAATTCATGTTATCTGGCCAAAATTCCCTAAGTACTGTGTCTACACCCCAGACCAAGGTGGGCTGACTCTGATGTGGCATTGAGGAGGTTTCTGTAACTCACCAATAAAGTGATTGTGTCCCAAGGCCAGCATCTCCTCCAAGAGGACAAGGCCCCCTGGAGCCTGGAGGGGGGTCACACTTCGTCCGTCTATGAGGGAGCACTGTTGAAACCCTGTGGCCGTGACCTTCCATAGCAAAATCAGTGAAGCAGTGGCATCTTGCCGAATTCTGTGAACAGGAATCATAGAAAGGGAAAGTCCCTCTGAGCACCTGAGAACAATTCATCAGATTGAAAGTAAAAATGAAGATGACCTGTACATCCACAAAGGTATCAAGGATGCTTACATAAACAGGTGTCCACATTTATTAGAAATGTTATCTCCAACTTGTTTAAAATATACCACAAAATGACTCATTGATTCCTCACCTGTAACAATTTTAATGAACAACAAAAGGGTACACCAGGTACTTTTACAGACAAATCCTTCCATACTGACACAATGGAAAAGTCTTGCTTAACTTTATCACAAGTAACCAAGCCACCCAAATTAGACTACCAAATTAAGCAAAGTATGTCAAACCCACTGCATGTTGGCCTCGTCTGACTTCTTGTGATTCACAGGATAAAATGCCACTCGAGGCCAGCTGTTCCTGCCCAACTTCCTCTCAGCTTCAAGTCCTGCACCTCCATCCCTGGAGCTGTGTCTCCTCCTAGTCCAGCTCCTTCTTGGCTCCTGAGCTCTGCCTCATCCTTCCCCACCTGGGCAGCACATCCCTAGCCCACCCTGCACCTCTTCTCAGGGACCTCTTCTCTTCCACCATGCCTGAAGCTATCTGTTCTGCCTGCACCCCTGGAGGAGCCCATTTCTTCCTCTGGTGGAAGATCCCAGTATTCTCTGTATACAGCTGCTCCCCCAGCACAGAGCTCCCAGCCTGCAGCAGGGGCCTCAATAAAAGTTTGATAAACAACTGAATTCATGAAGAAATGAAGGTGCAAGGGGCTAGCAACCCCAAATGTGAGTTTGGGGTGACCACAGATCATTTGGCATTCCCATCTTGCTCCGCCTGCATCAAACTGTTATTTCTGTTCAGTTCTACAGCCTAAGAGAGTCTCAGGGAATGTCAGGTTTGTTAAGAGGGGAAAAATAAGAGTATGTAAAGGCTAGGAAGGTAAAGTAACATGATCTACACGAGAAAAGGCTGGGAGATGCTTCCAGAAACACAAACTAGTAAACTAGTGCAAACTGTACTTCCCTAAAATCCACTCTGGACTGCAAGGCTCTCAACTGTCTTAGAGCCTCCAAACACTTAGGACCGGGGTCCCCCTGCTGGTAGAGCTGGGATTGGCCTCCGACTCCACCTTTTCCTATAGGGACATTAGTTCTGGTTCAAGGACTACACTGCCCTTCCTGGCTCTCCCCTGCCAGAGTGACCTCACAGCTGGGGAAGGGAATGCAGGACCAATGTACCAAAGTCCCTCTTCCAGACATTTTCAGAGAGTCCACTGTTTGGAAAGCAAGATAGGCAAAAATGGCCTGTATTCATGGAAAAGGTCTACAGAGTCCACAGGCCCCTCAAAAGAAAACCTGCATCAAACTGGTCAGTTATCTAAAATCCCCCCAAAGACTAGACAGCAAATGTCCCTGAGGAAGCATGGGGCTATGAGGAGGGAGAGTGACAGCTAAGGGTAACAAAGAAGGGTGGGCAGTTGGAGGTCAGTGTGCCTGGATCACTGATTTGGGCTCCACTCCCACTCCCTATCCTCGTGCCCCTGGGCAGTTTTCCACCTCCCTGTGCCCACATAAGGCACCTGGTATGTATGAGGTGGCTGGTCAGCCAAGGCTACCTTTCTCTGCCTCTTCATCTCCCCTGGGATGATGGGCAGTCTGAAATTTGAAAATGCTAAAATTAAAACAAAGCAAAACACTCTTCTCAGCAGCTTACTTTTAAAGAGAAAACTGTTACTATGTGGGTTTTTAATTGGGGTAAATTGTGCAAATGAATTGGACCAATGGCTCATTAAAATCTTCAGAGGCCAATACTAAGGGTTAGCAAAAGTCAACTGGAAGATGGAGCCACTGGCTCCAAATATTATCGAAGGCCTCAGAGTTTCTTCCCTCACATCAGACTCAGCCCATCCAGTTTCCCCACTGTGTATCCATATCCTCGCAGGACCCCAACTCTAAGCTACTCAGCTGAGAGAGTGGCCTCTCCTTTTCCAGTGGCATCCGCCATGTCTACATGTGGAATCCATTTGTGGTTCTCTCTGGACTCACCAGTGACACGGCAGGTGCATGGGTAGATACCACCTAGCATACGGGTTATAACATCAATCAATTTTTTTTCTTGAGACAGGTTATCACTATGTAGCTCAGGCTGCCCTCAAACTCATGTCCTCCTGCCTCTGCCTCCCAAGTGCTGGAATCACCACATGCACCACCCTGGTGAGCGGTGCATCAATCTTAACAGGTTTTAACTGAGAAATTTCTTACTTGACTGAGGTGTTCTGTGGCACTTCAAAAGATACCAGGCGGCCACCAGCAGAGCTATTAGAACTGGCATTCCCACAGGCAACATCTGGGATCACCTGGGAGGAAGAAAAAGTAAAAAGACCTGTTACCAGGGTAGATCACAGTGCAAAATAACACCACACAGCAAAATCCCATGAACTACAGCCTTCCATAGTGGTCAGTAACTTGGCGCCATGGTCTGGCCAGGAAGGAGACCTGTGAAACTGGAACTTGAAAGAACATGAAAGCTATGCCATTTTTTTATTTTATGAAATACAGCTTGCCTGAGAACAGTCTAAAAATTCCTGGGATTGTGAGAGCTGATAAATAGGATATTTCAGGAAAGAAAGCAGGATTTCCCTCACAGGACTGGTTCTTTCATTTAAGTCAGCTGCTGGCTCCTAATGGTAATGAGACTCTCAGTGTTCAAAGAACAGAGGCGTCTTTATGAGGAGCTTAGAGACCAGGGCAGAAGCCTCAGAGCCTAGGAAGGCGAGCCTCCACACCTGCAAAGACAAGGGTGTCTGGTGTGAATGACCCTGCTCTGTAAGTCCTGCTTGCTGAGGTTGGGAGTAGAGAAGTGGTCCTTCTCTCTCCCTGTGGGTCACACCTAGTTCACTGGTGTGGGAGGCTGGTGCTCATTAGGAGGTACACTGCAGGCACTGCATCCAGGGAGGCTTCTGGCCAATTTATTCCTCAGCCAAGATGACTGTCTTCACCCATGACAATGAAAACGAGGGAGTGCAGAAAGTATTCATCATCGCAGGATTAACTGGGAACAATAGAGAAATTCTTAGCGATGGTACCCAGACCTCCACACTCAGAATTTATTTTCCAGAGGGTCATATTGTCAAATACTGTGGCTAAGCTATGGAAACAACCCAGATGCCCTACAATGACGAATGGATCAAGAAAATGTGGTATACATACACAATGGAGTTTTATTCTGCCAAAAGGAAGAATGACACCCTGTGGTTTGAAGGTAAATGGATGCAATTAGAGGACATATTGTTAAGTGAAGTTAGCCAGGCTCAGAAAGACAAAGGTCATATGTTTTCTCTTATATGTGGAAGATAGATCCAAAGATAAACAAAGATATACACAAAAACAAACATGATCATACACAAACTCATACGTAGAATATGTTTGTAATAGTGGAACTACTCTTTGGAACCTAGGGAAAGGAAAAGAGAATGACAAAGCATCAACAATATGTAATACATAAGGTCTGGAACGTTGAAGATAAAATGATTTATTTATACTGAACACTGTTGGAAAATGGGGGATGGGAGGTAAAGGGGTAATGGAGAGTAATGGAAGAAATTGAATGAACCAAAGTATACGCCCAGCGGGGACACACTGATAAACTCCTTTGAACATCAACAAATATTACTAATGTAAGACAGGACTGTAAAACAGGTACAATGTCAGGGGGGACATTTGTGTGGGGGGGTGAGGGAAGGAGATTAAGATGAGGATGTATTGTTGAAGGACTTCATGTATTTATACGAAATAGAACAAAGAAGCCTCTTGTAATAGTTTTAAGTAGGGCAGGGAGGGGCTGGAGGAAGAGAGATGGTGGGGGTGATCTAACCAATGTAAAGTATAAGACTATTTGGAATTGTCACAATGAATTCCCCCTATACAATGAATATATCCTTTAAAAATTAATGGAAAAAAAACTGTGGTTAAAATTCACCATTGGTACCTAAAGATGGGCACCCAACTTGTTAAATTTGTGTAATTGATGACTGCTAAAAAAGTTTTGGTCCTCTAAGGCTACAAATAGATTTATGTTTCCAAAACACCATCACTTCACCAAAGTGGAAAGCCCAAACTCATTCCCATGTTTGTTGTTGGCCCTTTTTTTTTTTTTTCCACTCCATTTTATTTATTTATTTATTTATTTTCTTTTATTATTCATATGTGCATACAAGGCTTGGGTCATTTCTCCCCCCTGCCCCCACCCCCTACCTTACCACCCACTCCACCCCCTTCCTCTCCCCCCCACCCCCTCAATTCCCAGCAGAAACTATTTTGCCCTTATCTCTAATTTTGTTGAAGAGAGAGTATAAGCAATAATAGGAAGGAACAAGGGTTTTTGCTGGTTGAGATAAGGATAACTATACAGGGAGTTGACTCACATTAATTTCCTGTGCGTGGGTGTTACCTTCTAGGTTAATTCTTTTTGATCTACCCTTTTCTCTAGTTCCTGGTCCCCTTTTCCTATTGGCCTCACTTGCTTTTAAGGTATCTGCTTTAGTTTCTCTGCGTTGAGGGCAACAAATGCTAGCTAATTTTTTAGGTGTCATACCTATCCTCACCCCTCCCTTGTGTGCTCTCACTTTTATCATGTGCTCAAAGTCCAATCCCATTGTTGTGTTTGCCCTTGATCTAATGTCCACATATGAGGGAGAACATACGATTTTTGGTCTTTTGGGCCAGGCTAACCTCACTCAGAATGATGTTCTCCAATTCCATCCATTTACCAGCAAATGATAACATTTCGTTCTTCTTCATGGCTGCATAAAATTCCATTGTGTATAGATACCACATTTTCTTAATCTATTCATCAGTGGTGGGGCATCTTGGCTGTTTCCATAACTTGGCTATTGTGAATAGTGTTGCTGGCCCTTTTAAACTGCTTCTCCAACAGCCCAAGAAATAAGAGCATGACGGGAGCACAAGGCATGTCTTTTAACACTTTCCCACTGCAGGGTAGCGTGGCTTAAATAAATAGATTGAAATGGCCAGTTGAGGAGAGATTTTCTTTAAAGGACACTTCCTTGATAAACTTAGAATCAAATCTAGTTCACATTCAAGAAGTGAGTCACCCAAAAGTAGTTTTGAACTCTTAGTTCAAAGCACTTACTGAAAGTCTGCAATCAGAACAAGTTTCACAGCTTTCTAGGTTGACTAAAAACATTGCCCTCAGCCTAAATGTGGCCTTCTTAAATTGTAAGGCACTGGGAAAGAAATGGGTCAACTTGTCAGTATGTAAGATAATGAAAGAAAAAGTGCTGCCTGCCTCTTTTACAACAATCAGGGAAATTTCTAGACATACTCCTTGACTCTAATACCTAATACACAAAGATCTGTGTTTCCATTTATAGTATGAAACCTATAGTAATAGGCCACCACGGGCTTATATGGATGTTGAATAAATGAAGTATAAAATGTGGAATGGAATTACACTTCTTCAACATCACCTCTAAGTCATAGTGTGGATTTGTTCCCCAACTCTTCTAGCTAGCAGAGTTCTAGTTTATGTCAACTTTTAGGAGTCTTCTAATAAAAACCCCTCAGAATGAGACTTTCAAAAAGCTTGACATGACAGCCAAATCCTGGTAGGACATTTCAAAAAAGAGAATTTGCTATTGCAAAACTAAACAAAATTTGGAAATTTTATTCGCAAAATCTTTTATAAATCAATGATAGCATTCTTTTTCTAAACCCCATGGGAGTACTACAAGGTACCAAACAACCTGAAAAATAACAATTGCAAAAATAGTCATACTACTCTGCAATGTCTGAATGTTTGTGTCTTCCCCAAATTCATATGCTGAAGAGCTGGGGATGTAGCTCAGTTGTAGAGCCCTTGCCCAGCATGTGCAAGGCCATGGGTTCAATCCCCAGCAGAGAAAAAGATTCCAAAATTCATATATTCACTTTATGGTCCCCAAGCTGATGGTATGAGGCAAGACCTTTGGGAGGTGATTAGAGCATGAGGGTAGTGTCCTATGAATAGGACTGGTCCCCTCATAAAAGGTCACAGTGAGAAGGCCCTCTGCGAAGAAGTGAGGCCTCACTGGACTCCTGATATTGGACTTTCTAGCCTCTACAACGCTTAGAGGTTTGGATTATGATGCTTTCATTACACTGACTCATCAAAGACATACTCCAGGAAGGAAAATTAGGTCAGCAATGTGGGGTCCTGTGGTATGTTCCTTTATATGACTCCATATTGAGTTGTTTGCCCTCAAATCTAAGACTATCTCACAGAAATGTACACAAATATCATTCCAGAAAACAATTCAATCCTTTTTCAGTTTTTGTTGACTCTTTTTATGCTCATAAAACCATCATAGAAGCTGGGCACCAATGGCTCATGCCTGTAACCCTAGCTACTCAGGAGGCAGAAGTCAGGAGGATTGCAGTTCAAAGCCAGCCTGGGCAAGTAGTTTGTGAGACCCTATCTCGAAAAAAACCCATCGCATGAAAAGGGCTGGTGGAGTGGCTCAAGGTTTAGGTCCTGAGTTCAAGCCCCAGCACCACGAAAAAAAAAAAAATCATAGATACAAGTCCAGGTGACAGTATGTTTAGGGTATCTTACAGGTCTAGTTCTGTTGCTCTTATTACAACCACTTGAATTATTTTAGCATTGTTGGTTTCTTATGCAAAAATATATGCCATACATAGTTCTCACCTCCACTTGGTCCCATTTCATTTCTACAACTTTCTGCCCTGTTTTTGGCTGCCAGGTTGGCAGTGTTGCTGTTGCTTGAGAGCGGGGCAGAATTATGTCAGGCTCCTGGGTCGCAGCGACAGGCTGAAGCTGTCTGGGTGCCATAGACTCGGTCCAGCCAGAGGCCGGGACACTGGGAAGAAGCGCCTGTTCACAGTTGGGACCTTCGTAGCCCTCATTGCAAATGCAGAGGTAGCCATCACTGCTGCTGCTGCTGCTGCAGTTGCCATGGTGACAAGGGTTGCTGACACAAGGATCTGCAACAAACTGAAAAGAGACCATAAATGGGTCAATTATTCCTTGATAAGAAAAGTGGGGATATTGCTGAGAAATTAACTCCCTGTCTCCGATCTCCGACTCTGCTGAAAACGCTATTCCTGTGAACGCACATTCTGAACAGCATGTGCTTCCCAGGTCACCCCAGCATTAATCTGACTACAGGAAGCAGGGGCCCAGCAAAGGGAACATGGTGGAGAACAGCCTGCCTGAACCCCAAACCCTAAATCACACAGAATCAGAAGCACATTACTTAGAGGAATTTTCTAAGACAAAAACAGTTAACACCAAGGCTCATTAGGGAAGAAGCAACTTTGACATTTTCAACCATCAAGTCTTGACAAATGGTATTAGAAATCTAAACTGAAACCTCCCTTTTCACATCTGGGACCTTTGCAAGGTTTCCTTGTGAGAAATGACTTCCCCATGTATCAGCCTTCCAAGGCAGGCTTACCTATGTCTCCCAATTTCTTACCCGATCAGTAACCCTTTCTGAGCCCATGCTATTGAATTAAAGGTTTCCAGAACCATCAGTTCACAAGACAATTGTTAGCAAGAAGCAAGCTTGGTGGGAATTCTGTTGAAGCAACTTCAACAGAATTCTGTGAAATTTCTTAGCTCATTATTTTGCAGGGTGATTACAGAGAAGCATGGTTCCACTAGATATGCAAGATCAAAATTCAGTGATGCATCTCTCTATTGTGCCCATGTTTATCTCTGAGGCCTTCACTGCTGAGCTCTGAAGAGTCACTTGTTGGTACTCCAGAACACGCCACAGAACAGCCCAAAAGATCACCTGCTCCTCTCCAGACATCAAGCGTTCAGGAATGTGCTCAATGTTAGTCAATTACAATTTGTGTCTGGGATAAAAGAAAACTTAGCTGCTATAGCCTGGCTTCTCAGTGCTGATTGCAAAATAGAATTCAGTACAGAATTGATGACAGAGAAATGGGCCCCTCAATTCTCTTGCTGAAATGAGTTCACACACACAAACAACGTGTAGAAAGAATTCTGCTTGATAAAATGACTACTCATTCAGCTAATGTTCCTCATCAAACAACTTCCAACCCTTAAGGAATCAGAAGGGATTTGGGATTGAGTCAAATGAAGCCCCCAAAATACCTCATTAATTCTATGTTTTATCACTTTGCAATTCCTTCTGAGCCCCTCAGATAAGAGTTGATGAGTTAAGCTCATCAACTTAACTCAGAATATTTGACCTGTCAATAATATAAAATATTTACAATCTATCCACTCGAATTCAAACCCACACTTCTCCCAAAGAAGACAAAGCCTTCCCCTCCTACCTCCTGAGGCCCTCTCCTCCGTGACCTTCTTCTCTTTGCACCCTCCCCTCTCACCTGCTTTTTTTGGTAGTCTACCCAAAGTCCATTCCCACCTGAGGGCCTTGACCCTGCAGACCCTCTGCCTGAAATGCTCTTCTCCCAGACTTTGCATGTATCGACCTCATTTCATCTGTTTCTGTCTAGTGTCACCTCCTTGGAGAAGTCTTCCCTGTGAAATCTGAAATAATTCCTTTTGCTCCATCACAAAAATGTGAGCGCCATGAATGAGGGACTTTTCTCTATCACTACTCTATCCCCGGTTTGGCAGGAACACAGGATAGATGGTGGGGTTTTTTTTAAAAATGTTGAAAAAACTAAACATGGATAGATAGATTGATCGATATTTGGACAGCACTGTGTGAGGAGGGAGGGAAGAGAGCTTCTCGTTTAATCACGATGTTAGCTGGCTTTCAGCTTATTTCTAGGAAGGCCTGGTGCCACCTCAAGAATTATTTGACAAGAAGAGGAAAGAATTTAATTAGCAAGGCCAAAGGGAACAATTAAAACCACGTTTCTGAAATGAACATCCAAGGTTGACCTAGTCACAAATAAAATCTTTAATACACGCATTAAAAAGCAGAAATGCTTTTATGTCACAGGGGATCGATACAAGAATGAATTCTAGAAGTTCAGGCTCTCCTGAGCAGCTGAGAGAATGGTGTTGCAAGAATGGTAAGGCCATTCTGGTGGCCAGAGAGGTCCCAGGGCTTCTGCTCCATCACCACTGCCCATTGGTAACAACAAGAGGCATCCTGGGGACGGTTTGGGTCTCCTCAAAGAGCCCCAGCACAGAGTAAGTCAATGCTGTGCCCTCCCCCACACAGAAATCCTACAAAGCACACGCATGCACAACAAAGGCCACCTTTTGGGCCTGACACCCTTCACTGCCCTCTCATGGCTGCCATCTTGTCCTCAAGGCAACCAGAGCCAGAATCACTGCAGGGAAGTGGGCAGGCACAGCAAATGACTGACCTGCTACAGCCCAGACACTCAAGATGGTTACACGGGGCCACATCTGACTTCCAGGCCATTTTTCTGCAACACAGCACTACATATGTTCTGTGTTAGTATAAAGATACAAAGGCTAATGTCCAAACAGTAAGGATTGAGACTTCCTATGTGACAGGAACTGGGACTAACACCAACATCAGTACCCCACCCCTGCAGAGTGCACACCTAACAAGCTGGGAGATGCACTGGACACATATTACCCCTGACAGCCTCCAACTGTCACTCTGGTAGGCAGTTTACATTGCTTACTTTAGTTCATGCTCTACGGCAGAGAAATTTATTATTTTAATTTTATAGTTGACACCTGGTGATGCTAACCAAATGACTGACCTTTACTCAGAATAAAAGCTGGAGACTTCAGGGTCTTACAAGCCTAGTGTTCTGCCTGTACCCAGTCTCTTTGGGCCTTGCCACCTACTCCTGCCCCCCTCTCATGTGAGCCCCAGACACACTGGCCTCTCCACTGTTCCTCTGGCCCTCCAGGCATTCCCCTACCTCAGGGCCTTTGCACTGGCTTTCCATCAGCCTGGAACGCCATTTCTTCTCATGGCTGCTCCCAGCCTCCTTTGAGTCTTTAGTCAAATAGCAGCTTCTGTGAGGACATCCCCAAGTACCTTATTTAACAGCCCCTTCCCACTGTTGACTCTTCCTCCCCTACTTCATCCATCAAGTTTTAACATATTATTTTAAAAGATATAATATATTTATTTTCTTTTTTGCAATATTAGGGATTGAACCCAGGGCCTCACACTTGCTAGGCGAGTCCTCTACCACTTGAGCCACACCCCCAGCCCTTTAGCTTTTATTTTGTTTTTGCAATAGGGTCGCTCTGATTATGCCAAGCTTGGCCTCAAATTCACAATCTTCCTGAGCAGCTGAAATTACAGGCGTGTGCCATCATGCTCTTAATATATTTACTTCCTGTTATCTTCCTCTACTAGACGATAAGCCTTCTGAAGTCAGATTTCGTTTTTTCTGCTTTGTTCACTCAAGTGTGAACAAAGTGTTCACTCAGCCATTGTGCCGGGCACATGGGAACTGCTGGAGGAACTTGGACAGATGGAGGTGGCCAGAGGGAAGGACGAGGGAGAAGGCAGGAAGGGGCCCTCTCTGCAAGAAGCTGCGGGAGCCTGGGAGGCTGCTGTGAAAAATGGAGCTGGGGTTCTCCAAAGCCCAGTCCCTGGTCTTCAGAACACAAGTCAAAGGGGAGCTGTAAATAAAGCCATGACCGTATTTTTAGAGTGCTTTCAAGGCAGGGTGTCCCTGTGGACCTGACAGGTAGGGTGGACCCTGCACACTGGGCCTTCTTTGCCTGGTGAGGGCAGCAAGAGGACAGGCCGACTGGAGAGCACTGTGGCCCTCAGCTCGGTGAACCGGGCCACCTCTTTGTGTCCTCAGAGACTATATGTGAGTCCCTGCAGTGGGCAGTTTTAGGGACTGAAAGGCAGAGCTGAGTGGCAAAGGACAATGCCCGAGGCTGTATCCGAGTATCCATCCCACAGGTAAGGGAATAAAGGGCTGAACAGAAGACAGGATGGAATCCACCGGTCGTCTGGTGCTGGGACTTTCTAGCTGAGAGTGACGCCAAGCAGCACGTGGCACTAAATAAAGAATGAAGGACATGAGGAGAAGGCCAGGAGAAACCCTTAGTGAAAAGAAGAGGACAAAACCTAAAAATTCAACTGTTCCCTATACAGATTTCTGAAGGGATCCAAAGTGGTAAATGATGTGATGGACACACAGATGCACACAGAGACACACAGACACACTCGCGGATATAGACATATATAGGCACACACACACACATACATAGAGACACACAGACATACAGAGGCACACAGATCCATAGACACACACAGACACACATACGCAGACAGACACACAGAGGCACACACAGACATATAGAGACACAGATACACACAGCACGGTTCAAAGCAGGGAGTTCAATTGTAGGGTCATCGGTGGCTGTTTTTGGGTGATCACGTCACCCTTGGCAGGTGTATTGTTGCTTCACTAACAACAGCAACTGTCTGTCATGTCATTCTCTTAACACTTCAGATGAGTATCATTAAAAAAAAGTATATCTGAATTCACAATAGCAAATGTAAGATTAAATGCAATACTTAACCTGTAAGCGAAATCCTTAACAAACATACATGCTTTGTAAGCCCTGTTGTCTGTAGTACACTGTTTATCGAGATTTTTTTTAAGTTTGTATTTCATCTCAGAGGAAGAAAGTCCTACTGGAGAGGTCCCCACCACTCCTGAATAACATTAAGTTTGAACTACAATCAGGTAACAACTGAACTGCCAAAATGCATAATGAGGCAGAAGATCATAATTAATAGCCCTGACTTTGGGAATATGCAAATTCTAATAGGTAATATTTTATAGCTATAGATCTAGTTTCTAATGATGGAGAAAATGAGTAAGCCTTTGTAACACCAGCTGTCATAAAGACTAAAGAGAAAGTCACTGGCCCACGGTTTTCTGCTTACAGCTAACCCCCAACCTCATTTATTCAGTGCTGCATCAGATTCATTTTAAGCCAAATTTCTTCACGTCATGAAACTAACCTAAAATCGTTCTTTTCACATTTATTGTAGACTTTTTACCTGTGTCAAATAATTTATA